TCCTTGTGTCCAGAACAGAGGCTGGCATGTAACAGACAGTTTCTTAACTGTCTTCAGGCTTTCATTCATGGCCCTGACAATCTATTTTCAACAAAGTCTTTGAGTTTGTCTGTCCAGGCAGCATGGTTCCTCTGCATCTCATCTCACGCAGAGGAAATGTTCAGTTCTGACAATGTCAGTCGTAGAAGGCCCTACATGACATTTGCACTCCCAAGGCCCCAGTCACATCCTCATTACCTCTTGGACCTCTTCAGAACCTCTGTCTAGCAGTCACCTGGTTCCCTTATTCCATTAGAGCCTTGCTCTAATTTCCACTCTCAACCTCCACCCCCCCCCACCCTGTTACAGTTTATCCCTACTCCCTGCTCCCAACTCTCTGTGCCTCATCTTCCTATGCAGCACCTTCTTAACCCTACCCACCCTTTGCACTTAGGTCTTGTTTCTTGTTTCTCTTCTCTGAGGAAAAGCTTCATAAGGTCAAGATTTTCACCTTTTATTCCCTGTTGCATCCCAGCACCTAGAGAAGGTTTTGGCACATAGCTGATGCTAATAAATATGCATTGAGTGGATGGAGGCAGTGCTTTTCTCTCACTGGAGAAGGAAACCCACAGAAGTAGTTAATGAGCAAGAATGGAACACACCTGTGTGAACTGCATTCACAGGCTGAGTATTTGTCATGAAATCCAAAACAGTCCCTCAGCATAGTATATCAATCTGTCCTCAAATACATCAACAGTATAAAAGTTCTTTTTGAAAGAGAGAACTCTCTCCCCACTCCCACTTCCCCGTTTTTTAGAGCACTGGTAAGGATTTTCCCCATTAAAAAGTATTTATTTAACAGGCAACTCGTTTTTTCCCTCAGATTTGCCTTACCCTTCTTTTTCTGGCTACAGCTGTAAAGTTTAGTATTAGTGCCAGAGGCAACTGATTACTTAAAAAATACATACTCTGCTCTAGGCTGATATCCATTCGTATTTCATTATGAGAAGATAATAAAAACAATGCTTTGGACTTTTTGTCTACAGGGGAGCACAGTTCCTCTGACAGGCCCCCTATGAGCATGGAGGGTGAATGCTATACCCTTAGTAGATAAGGACCGTGAGCACCCCGCCCCCAAAGTTGGTAACATAGAAGACTGTTGGGATTGGTCCTGCTTTTTATTTTTAAAATCTTATTTTGTAAAAAGGCATTTCAAACCCCTAAACAGAAAAGTTACGTGAGCAATGTTTTTGATAAAGGCTTTGATTTTGGACATACTGTTGGGGTGCTGAACTCCTGTGTTCATCCAGTCATGCTGCTGCTTCTTGCTAACGCTGAGCTCTAATAAACTGGCAAAGATAAACAGGATCCAACCTTCCTGTGATTTTACTTTGTAAGAAAGCACATGATTTATGAAACTATTATTTTGTCTTTAATTTTTATCCAGTAGCAATCTAATTTTAGACCCTTTCCCAGCTGGTTTCTGAAGAAAAGTTCTGCCTTCTCTTGAAACACCAGAATTTCTACTAAAAAACAGCTTAAAGGTCTCCCCATTCCCCACCCCCAAGTCTCTCCTTGAAGCCCCAGCCTGGGACTAAATTCCCTCCCCACAACCTCTTGTAGCAGCAGTGCACATCCTTGATCCCAGTGTTGCTCTATTCACCTGCCTGTTTACCAGCTGTGTCCTTCAATAAATCCCATTTCTTTACAGCAGGGATTAATCATCTCTGTATTCCAAACAGCTAACACAGTCTTGGCACATGGTAGGTGCTCAATAGATAAAGGCTAAATAAGTGAATGAAAGAAGACAGTCATCAAAGGTGAATATTAAGGAAGGGGGAGGCTACTTCACTCCCGGGATTTATTCTCTGCCTTAGCCATAAGTACCTGGTTCCCCTCTACTCTCTCTTTTTCTACTCTCTAGGTCTTAGAGTTTTGAAGCAGGAACTGGACCAGTCCCACACCTTCCTCACCTCTTTCTCTTTGGGAGGCAGGTGATGGCAGGAAGCGCACAGACACCTGTACCTCCTTGTCAACAGTTTTACCCGCAGATCCCATGGAGGGCATCCTTCAGTGGTCCAATTCTGCCAGGGTCTGGGTAGATATACTGTAGTAGAAAGCATATTTTCCCATAAGTATAAACTAAATTCTTTATTAGTAAAGGTGAGATTGTATCTTTCACCTGAATTTTTCCTTGGATTTTATTGATCACCTGGTTTAGAAATCAGGCCATGGGAGAGTCGGGACCTTAAATCTTCAGTAGGCTTTGAGATTTTTAATTTGAAAGTTTTCTTCTATGTTACAAATTATAGTTCTCCCAGTCTATCACTGTCTTCTTAATAAAGCAGAAAATGTAAGCAATATATTGCTTGGAAACAGCATATTACTATGAATCCAGTATGCTCTAGAAAAGCCTAGTGGTGAGGGCAACACTGGTAATAATAAAAACTTTTCTCTGTCATCAAAGAAAATTTTGCTTTGCCCACATTCCTAGCATCCTATGATTCAAATAGTAAGTATCAAATTATCTAGCTCAAACTTTGGGACTTCCTGATATCTCCTTTCTCCCTCAAACCCTTAAACACTGCTCTAGTTAACTTGAGTTTGATCTTAACAGACCATGTGTAAGTCCCCTCACAGCACTGACAAAATGCTCAAGGACCAGGGATCTTCCTACAACATGCACTTGCTTCCATCCATGGAGTGGAGTGCAGAAATAGGGGCCCAATAGTGTTGACTTGAGTTATCAGTTGAGTAGCTTCTATGGGCCCTTCAGGCACACTTCATCACTACTTGAGCCTGGAGCCTTCTTCCTCTGGGTAAGAGTTTGGGCAGATAATAAAATGCACCAATTTATTTGGTGCAATGCTTATCACGCAATCCTGCCAGGTAGGTATTAACATCTAGATTTTACAGATGAGGTAACTGGTTCACATAAAAACATAGCTGGCAGGTGGAAAGGTGGACATTTGAGCTCCATCCTTTAGACTTGGATAACACACATTGGTACCTTCACTCCTGTATGGTGTCTCAGTGAGCCTCATCCTCATTTCTGGAAAACTCCCTATGAAGCAAGAGACACCGTACATTGCAGATGTGGCATGTTACTAGCAGGACTGAGCCAATGTCCTGCTCATAGTTAGGGGAAGGAGGAACAGAAACATGGTATCCAAAGGTATGTTCAGGGCACAATAAGCATATGGAAAGCTAATGTCCCCAGGGCACAGACAGAAGTAGAGTTTGTGAACAGTTTTTTTTTTCTGACTTTTTAGCAGATGCAACATAAATACACAGTAAGCAGGGTATCCTATGAGTCTCTGCTTCTCAAAGCTGTTTTTTTTTGTTTTTTGTTTTCAGCTGAGCTTCCAGGATTCATAGGTCAAACTTAGCTTCCCTCCTTGTCATTTAACACTTTTTATTTGTTTTTTTTTGTGGGAGGGTGGGGGTTGAGACAAGGTTTCACAATATAGCTCAGATTGACCCTAAACTTGCAATCCTCTTGAGTGTGGATTGCAGGCATGTCCCAACACGTCCAAGTGATACTCAGGATATTCTCCTCGTTGACAAGTATTGAATTGAACCATCTTCACAAGAGATGCATTTCTCCCCCAAACTTCCCCTGGACCTTAAATCTTTTGGCTACAGAAAGAGAGTTCACACACATGTGTTATCCAAATGCATAAATACTGGATGACTGAAGATTCACTGTTTGATACATGTCCATGAGGGACTCTATCCATTTTGGATTCAGTTCTTTCCTAAGAATCAACTCCAATGAACGTGATCTGAACAGAGGTTCATCTCCCCTCTTTGACCCTTTCTCTCCTGACCCCAATATCACTATGATTATAATATTGAATGTAAAGAAGTTGAGAGGCCAGAAATCTGCATTCACTATACATATCTAAATGGTTGCCCAATTCTAATGCTTAGGTCTACACAGCATCCCTCCGTCAGCTCCCTTCCATTCAACTATTACTGCTGTTCAAGTTCTTGCCCATAAAATCCTTTTCCTGGTCTGGTCTTACGGCTTTTCCTCAAGTCTCATCTCCTTAGAGACCTCCTCAAAGGGTCTCCCTAGGGACACTGCCACAGTTCCTATCCTTTCCTACACTTTGATCCCTGATGTAAAGCATTAGGGAAGGTGCTCATCAGATCACCTGACAAGGCTAGGCCATTCATCACCTGGAAACTGCAGCCATCATTCTTTATGTCATTCCAGGAACTAATAAAAGCCACATTTGTGTGTTCAAGCTATTTCTAGCCCCAGCCATCTCTAAAATATCAGAAAATATCTGGAGAATTGTTCACTCTCTAATACATCAAGTAATCATTTCTACCACCAAAAGGTTTTGAGAGCCTATATTCTGATGAAGTGATCCCAGACTGTTCAGAGAGGAGTTAAGAGTTCTTCTCTCTTTCATCCAGTTCTGCCCTCTATTTCCTTCCATTGCCAAGCTTAGCCATACAACTGTAATGGCTACCAGCTCTGATCTTCAGCCAGGCTCTTCTGACTCTTGGCCGTGTTCAATGTACACACCTTTGAGTTGACAAGTTGATGTAAAATTTTTTCTGTATTTGATGTATAAAGTATGTAACTTTTATATTCCATCAAGTGCATTTTCCTTGGACTGCAAGTTCTTGCTATACAGAAGAATCAGGGACTTTTTGTTAATAAGAATTCACACACGTAAATGTTCTTTGGTGATTGTTGGGACAGCACTCAAAGCCACTCAGATAATACACAAAATTTAATAGTTTATATTTGATCTCAGTCCTGGACATGTAGCTACACCATCTTAATCACCCAAACAGGTATTTGTTCCATGTTTGGTGTAGTTGACAGTGTCTGGGAGTGGCATTCACTTAGATTTTGGCCTGAGGTCTGCAAACTCACACTACAACCATTGCTGGGGATGTGTGCCTATCGCTAGTCTACTCAGTGAGGGATAAAGCTTAGACACAGATTCAAGTGCACAGAGCTTGATAAGTGACCGGCGCCTCATCTCAGCCATACTTACTTGGTGAGGTGGGGGAGGCTGCACCTCCTTCTGTTGATGTAGTGGGAGGCTTTGTGTCTGGCACTGGCAGAGGCACAGGCCTGGCCATCGGTGGTGGTGGTGGTGGTGGCAACATTGGGGTGGGAAGGAATGGGTTGTGCACCTTGCCTTGGCTGCTCCCATTGGGCTGCGAGGGTGGGGAAAAAACAAAACACACACAAGAAAAAAGAAGAAACATATGTCAACCATTAGCTGCTTCTGAAAACAAGAGATTTAATAGGCACCTGCTATGTAAATTACCAAGTATTCTAACTGCTTGAATTCTTCCATTAAGTCCATCAGATGAAGAACTGTTGGTCTCTGATCTTAAGGTATTCTACAAAAGCGCACTTAGACACACATGCTTGCTGTACCCTGAACTTTTTTCCTGAACTGTCCCTTTTGCATCTGGTTCCATGAAATGACCTTCCTGTGATCTCTGTGGATATTCCAGCTGAGTAACCAACTATGCTTGCAATGTCTTGATACTGTATTAAATGCTACCTTCATCACCATCCTCATGGTTATCAAATACCTAAGTGTTTATGGATTCAGACGTTATTCTTCCACGTGCATTTACATAGGTAAAATGACATTTCCTAACCATGCTTCTGATATCAAAAAAATTTTCTTTTCACCTTTCAAAGTTGATCATATATATAATATTTAACATTTCCTTTCACGTATTGTATAACATCAGGCACAGAAACCTTAGAATTTAGCTATCACAATTTTATTAGGCAAAAATAACATTTCTAATTTTGATTAGAATTATGTAAGCATACGTTAGAAGAGTTATGATTATTTGGCTGCGTGATGTTAAAACAACCAAATAATAGCTCTTTTACGCAGGAAAGTTTCCCTCTGAAGAGAACAATAAAATAAATATTATTTTCAAGTTTTCAAAATAGCTCCATGAAGGGCCCTGCCTCAAATACCATAAAGTTTTGATCAAAATGCAAAACTGGGAATTGACAGTTATATAGGATGATGTCAGGACTACTAAATAAAAAAAGTTGGAAATTCGGAAGTCAGATGCTTGATACAGGTGGTCAGTTCAGGTGTGCATTGGGGTCCCAAGGGGCCTTTGGGACTGAATTTCCAGACTTCAGTGCCACTGTTCAACCAACAACAGCTCATATTAAGGCTGCAGTCCCAAATCAAAATACACTGGAATGAGATCCTGTTGTCCTAGACTTTTAAATGTGAGCTTAACAATTATGAAGGGACAGTCACTCCTCCATCAACATTCACTGATTTAGTTAGCATTATTCCTCAAAGACTATCTTGTCTGACAATCAGAATGCTGTGCTTTCTTGCCAGCAAAGTTGCCTGTGTGTTATTTCTGAGTGGGCTGAGAGTCTGTAAGTGAATGCTTTAGACTAAGCCAGGTAAATGAATACACAAGCAAAAGGAAAAAAAAAAAAAGGCACCATATTGATTTGTTGTCTAGACAGAAATGTATCTGCTAACATATCACCAGACATTAGTCAAAGATGCCTGGGCTGGCTCAGATATGCACAATCAGGTATTTCTGCAAAGGAAGAAAACCAGTGGTAGGACAGTGTGACATAATATCCTAAATGGGTGATAATAATTATGGCTAATCTCTGGTTTCATGAATAGTTATTATGAGAAAAGGGAAACCTGAATTTGGTTTTGTGTTGGTCACTATTTTATTGCTATTATTATTATTAGCCTTGGGATGCAGCTTTCCATTGTAAATGTTCAGTTCTATATTTGTAATAAAATTTGTGATTTTAAAAAATCACCTTTACATTTAGAATGCTATTTCAAATTGTGATTATGTGGTTTATTTGAGAAAAATGACAACATTCATTTGACATTACTGAATATGGTTTAGCTTTATATAAAGATAAGTTGGAAAGATAACTACTTGCAGAAATAACAAACCATAACAAACTGTGCTTCTAGCTTCTTGAGTTCAAGTACTGGTCAACTTGATCTAAAGTGTTAGAAGACTATATTTTTTAAAAAAATATCAATTTGGTTGATCTGAAACATCTGTCTCCCTCTGCCCCCTACCTCTCTCTACCACTTCAAATCCTTATTTAAAATTATTCGGTCTTTGTATTTTGTTAACTGTATGAGTCCTAAGGTTAGAATGCAGGAGGTGGAATTATCAGCCCACAGAACTTAGAAGGTTATACGGTTCACCCTCAAGATGATTTATATCCATAAACTTGACAGTTGCAAACTTAACACAAACACTGTTTTTAAACCCCAGCCAATCGCTCTTAGAGCAAGTTAACTTTCCCACAATCTAGAATAAATATGACATTTGCCTGCAGTCAGTCAGCACGACATTGGAACACAATGTCACATGGTCATAAGGTCTCCCCTTGTTATTTTTACATTTGGTTAGCATTTCTAAAGAAATTGAAAAAAGAGGTTTCCTTACATTGAGGAACCCCACCTGTCCAGCCTGCTGACCAGCATCAGGGCAGACAAGTTGGACAAACTCTTTCAGCGTCTCCTGAGGGTGGTAGCGGATGGCCGGGTGTGAAAAGTAAGGCCCAGGCTGCTGGATGATGGGTGATGTCGGAAAGTGGAGAGTCGATGGTGTTGCGTGCGGACTTGCTGCAGAGAAAAAAACACCAGAATTAGGGAGAGGAAGACCTACTTTTGCTGAATCCAAGAGACTGGATTCAGCCTCTTGTTTTATTTTTTTCTCCTGGCCCAGTGCAGGATATTGGTCATGTGACTGAATTGAACACTGGAGAGGTCTGATGGATTTTCTTCCTTCAGGCTCTAAGACAAACATGGAGGTCAGATTAGGGTAGAATTTCAAACTGTCTTTTGGGTTTTGGTGGACATGAGTTATAAAGGCATTAATAATCCTTGGTGAAGATGAAGATTATTCATTACCTTAAGAGCCTTTTTAATGAAGCAAGCAATAAAAAATGTATTTGGTAGATTAGACCTGATTTACCTGACATTACATTTGACAAATTCTAGTTTGCACATATGGATCCCCTTTCATGCTGAGCTATCCACAGACAATAATTCATTGTTAAAGCTCTTATGCCCCTTTCAAGGAAATTTCTAGGGACTAATTCATGATGAAAATTTTTTGAAGTGTGTAGTAAATGATCACTTAATGAATCCATGCAATTTTGGTGCCTCACTTCACATGGAAGGCTTATGTTGCACTTTTTTTTTTTTTCATTTCATAGCCAAATTCAGAAGTGCATAAATGTCAAGAGTAGGAGAAACCACAGGCTGAGTAGACAGTGACCTCTGCAAAACCACTGGTCCCTTGCCCATAAAAACTGATAGAAGACTCAGACAACTACTGCTCCCTTGTACAGTAAATCCATCTTTCTCACAGATTTAATACATGTGGTTTTGATGGTATGCTAACAAAATAATAATAAATTTAAAAAATCAAAAGAAATTTCAAAAACAAAAATTTCACACAGCTCAGTAAACTCAGAGAAGCTTTCAGTCACTTGTGTTTAAATCACTGTGTGATCTGTTGAGTGTTATGCCTCCCAAAAGCAAATGGCACCCCAAAAGCAAGGTAAAAGTGAATGCATTTCATTTAAGTGATAAAATGAAAATGTGAGATTTATTTAGGGGAAGTTGGGCATCGTTATGGGGAAAAATGAATCAAGTATCCACAGTATAGCACTGAGCTCTATGCATGATGAACATTCAAGGTTTTTCCTTAATGGAGGTCTCCTTGGAACCAGAGACCCAAGTCTACCCTGATAAATATAATTTGTATGAGAAGATTAATTAAACAACTTATGTGAGATACTTCATTTTTCTAAGAAAACTCTTCCTTTTGAATTGGAAAGATGGCTGAAAAACTGGCTGGAGGATACAAGAAGCACATGTTAAGGGCTGAAAACACTGCAACCAGTGAAGCTTTCACTTCTCAATGAGGGCTAGAGAAAACTCTCTCAAACCAGGGGAGATGAGAGTATATGCATTCACTTCACTTTTTGCCAGCTTAAATCTTTTTTTTTTTTTTTTGGTGGTACTGGAGTTTGAACTGAGGGCCTCATGCTTACTAGACAGGCACTCTACCATTTGAGCCACTCCACCAGCCTAGGTTAAATCTTTAAGCTGAATTCACACCTACAAGATGAAACACAGGAATGTACAAATTTTTAGAGAATAAGATTTTCTAAATACCAATAGCAATTCATAGTGTTGGAAAGAATTTAAAGTGTGACAAGCCACCCCTTTAACCATCATCCCACTTGAATGGCAAAGGCCGTTAAAAAGAATGTTTATTGATTGCTGGACATGAGTTTGGAATCAGAATTTTTATTATTTTCCCCCTCTCAAACTTACTCTTCTCCCATTTTAGTAAATACCTTTACGATCCATTTAATTGTTCACAGTTCTATACTCAGAATGAAGTCTGGTACCCAACAAATATTTTTTGATTGTGCAACAAATGATTAGGTAAATGAGAAATTAAGAAAATAATCATAAACCTTGCCAAAAAGCAAAACTTGTTTTCCTCACCTGCTGAGTAGCCAAGGAATTTGTAAAAAAAGAAAAAATGGGTAAAAGTTTAGACTGTATATGATGAATAACAGATTTTGGAATCCATTACTGTCTCTGAGTTAAAACACCAAAGCTAAAAAGTTAAATGGCTCTGGTCAGCTCTTACTCTGGAAATTGTGTCATTGGCTTTAAAGAAACAAATGAACTTTTTCTTCCAGTACCAGTCATACTGGTAGCAAGAAACCTTGACCTAAAACCCTGCATTTGACTGAATACTTTCTATACTTAAGTTTCTCAGGCTAGGGTGGGAATGTACTGACCCTAACAAAGTGATATTCTCAACCTTTGCTGCATGTCAGACACAAAGGTGGCAACTCCATTGTCAAGAGCACTGGGAGGTTAATCTTGATGATAAAGTGGCATTGCCTCAGGTGCTCACAGAAAGTGATGAGTGATTGTTAGCTAAGCAATTGTGGTGGCCAGCAGAGAATGCTGCCCAAGGGAAAAACTCACTTGAGCAAAGAATCAGGCAGATAAAAGTTAAAGAAACATGAGAGAAGAAATAATTCACGAGGGCTGTGGAATCTTTCCATTAATTATTAATAAATACCCTTGCCCTTTGTTAAATATGTAAAAAGAACATCATTACCAACTTAAATTTAAACCTTAGTTTCATTATTATATTTTACTAGTAATAGTTTATTCACCTTTTCCTTATGGCATAGTGTTCAACAAACCTAAGGATATATGGTACTATATGGAATTAATTCTGTAATGACTGATTTATTAGGATCAATTAATTCTTAATTAATTCCAGGAAGTCATCTAGCTCATAGTGTCAAAGTAGACAACTGCTGAGTCTGCATTTAAAGGGTCATCCTTTTCAACCCTCTCTCATGCCGGGAACTTCCTGGTTCAGCCACCAGTCCACTGTAGAACTGGATAAAAATCATTCAAGACCCTGAGCTTTGATTTCTTCAAAGAGAAACTGTGTTACAGGCATCACAGAGACCTGTTAATTATCGTTAAATATGTGTGATTTCCCTGGATATCCTATTATTCTTCATTTACTGGGCTCACTGGAGCTCTGAGTTAAGATTTCATCAATGTCTAACTTTTTCTTCTTTCTGATTTCTTGTTTTCACTCTTTATCTTTACCTAAGTTTTTATCTAACTTATCTCAAATCATTTTAGCAAGAGTCATTAGGGTTAAATCAATCCAGCAATAAATTCATTAAATGTACTTTAAGATGGCCAGATAAGTCCCTATGGAAGAGAAACAACTGTTATGAATCTGGCGTGATGCAAATGTAGTGCACACAGAATGGTATGAGTTCAAATTTTTGACAAAGAAAAACATCTCTTATGGATGTGTGTGTGTGTGTGTGTGAGTTGATGACACAATAAAAAATTGTAGCACATTATGTAAATGCATATTTAGATCCTTTAAAATGTGCATTATTTACTGGAGAGTCAATAAAGGCTTTTCTCAAGTGGTTACAGTTTATTGCAGTGCATCCATCTGTATCCATGTTGATGTTAATACAATTTTGTGTATTAAATGACTACAAAATGGCTGCTTCTGGGGTCTAATACTCTCTGTACCCTAGGCCAGAAGCAGCAGAGAGTGAGGAGCACTTCACTCTGGATAGCTCTCACTGCTAGTTTAACCTTTAACCAGCAGCCATACTGATTTAAAGCAACTGCTTGGGCTTTTTCACAGGAATACAAATAAGATGGAAGGAAGGGAATTTGATCAGATCTCACTGGCTAGAATAGCATCGCCTATACATCCTAAACAAAACAGCCACAATTAAAGACATAGAGAACCAGCATTTGACAAAAGGTGTAGTGCTCAGTTATTTATTACAAGACGATCAGATTACTGAATACTTAAAAAAAAAAAAAAGGCAGGTCAGGCAGATTGATTTACATGTTTTACTCTCCTCTTCCCACCTCAGTACACTTCCATTCTTTAAAATATATCTCAGTCTTAGTTGGAAGGAGAAAAAGTAAAAAATTCACACATGCACACACACACACACACACACACACACACACACAAAACACACACACATACGCGCACACATATACATTTAACCTAAAAATGATCCTCCATTTAAAGCAGAATTGATTAAGATTGGGATAGGGAAGGCCAAGGTCATTATTGTGTATGCTGAGATACTTATATGATTCAACAGTGATTCTTGGTCTGGGAGTCCACCCACTATCAGGAGGAGGCCTCACAGACACCACACCTCAGCAGGGCTCACCACAGGAGCTAGAACTAGTAAGAGCATGGAAGGATAAGCCACATGAAAGATAGTATTAGTGTGGTATGGCCAGATTCTTGTATTTTTAAGTTTTAGGGGGAAAAAAAAGAGAGAAGAAAGTAATCTCTTCTGAGCACTTTTGGTAGCTTTTCTCAAGTTCGACCTCCAAGAATCCTGAGAACTCTCCCACAATTTTCCTCTAGCCAGAACTTTATGGGGTGAAATATGTTTTTCTCTACAACCCTGATACTGTCTTTTTTTTTTTTTTTTTTACTCCAAGTCTGTGAACCATTGCAGATTCTCACAGACTGGACAGACTCTTGGATTCTTTTTATGTTAGCTTTTGCTTTCTGGCACCAGCCTTCAAATCCTTGTCTTTGTCCTATGGGAGGCTCCACAGAAAAGCTGTCAAGAGGCGACACAAACAATAACATCTAATATTCCTCAGGTGCAACGTGCTCTTAAGGCAGAGTTACTCTCAGGCGTCTTCCCTCACAAGAATGAAGATTACTCCCAACTCCTAGCATCTGCAAAACATCACCGACTTCCCATTAATCAATAGTAAGTCAGTGGCAACAGGTGAGATTCTGAGATGTTTCTCTCAGCTAACACTGTCACAGGACACAGTTACCCATCTGTCTGCAGCAATAAGATGGCTTCTATACAAAAATAACATTGCTATAGAATAAGAGGCAACATTGAGAACTCCTGACTACTTCTATTTGGAAGTAAAGATCTTTTAAAAGACAAAGCTCCAAAAGCAGGAGAAAACAGATGGGAAAAAAAAATCCCACTTGAAAAAAAGAAGTCCTCCATAAAGGGCAATGGAACTTGAATTGTTTG